GTATGTTTGTTGGGTAAAGGACATAAAGTTTTTACTGAGATAACAACTCAAACCAGAAAAGCTGGTATTGCCAGTGGGACCTTGGAAGCCAGGAACCAGTCTACAGCATTTTTTTAAATAAAGACAGTGTGAGTTATAGTGCAGTAGAAATTACTGCAATGTAGTACATGATAGTAGGAAAACTGAAATACTTATTACAAATTCAGAAAGCCTAAGGTTTTCTAAGAAAAGATACTAGAATAATAGAATAATATATACTGTGTATTCAAGTGCAAAGATACTAATTTTACTTAATACATATATATTAAGGACCAAACATGTAAGGTATTCTGTAAGATGAAGACATTTTAAAGATTGTGGTTACTAATTTCTTAAAAATATGAATATGGGATAATAGAATTTACTCTTTGATTATGGGAATGCAAATGATATATTCAAGAGGAAAACTTACAAGTTTCTTACAAAACTAAGGAGATTCTTCCTATACAATTTGGCCATCACACTCTTTGATATTTATGCAAATTAAATGAAAGCCTATGTCCACATAAAATCTGCACAAAGATGCTCCTTTGTTTATAATTGCCAAACATTGGACACAACCAAGATGAGTGTCAGCAGGTGAGTGGATAAACTGTCATCCATCCAGACAGGTGATGGACTGTCAAGTCGTGAGAAGGAACACACTTAAAGATATACTAGGAAAAGAAAAAAGCCAATCTGAAAAGGCTACAAAATGAAGCACTCAGATGAAATTATGTTGTAGGAAAGGCAAAACTATAGAGAGAATAAAGCACAGTGGTTTCCCTGGGTTGGGTGGGAAAGGATGAACTAGGTGGCATGGAGAGGTTTTTAAGATTCTGGAACTGGGGCCAGGGAGATGGCTCAGTGGAATAAGTGCTTCCCTACCAAGCGCAAGGGCCTGAGTTCAATCCTTGGTTCCACAAAAAAAAAAAAAAAAAAAAAAAAGGTCTGGGGGCCTGCCCCGTAGCTCAGTTCCTTAAGTGGCTGCTTCAACAAAGCAGTCAGGCTCAAGTTACTGTGGTTTGATCCCCACAACTCAAGCCAGCCAAACCTGCCCTGAAGGCATTTGGAGAAAAAAAAAATTTTGGAACTATTTCATACCATATTATAGTGGTGGGTCCATGTAAATTACACATTTGCTGGGATGCACAGCACAGGTACAAGAGCAAACTGAGGTGAACGGAACTTGTGATAGTGCTGTGTGGAAGGCTGATGCTTTGTGCAGATGCAGCCTTCATGCCAGAGTGTGATGGGGCAGGGGAGGGAGTCTTGTGTGTGTTGAGAGGACAGGGATAGAGTGTGAGAACTCAGCATGTTTTCTGCTCAGTCTTTCTATGCACCAGTATATGAAACAGTACTAGAAACTTGTTTATTCATTAGAAAAGCCAGTAAATTTCAACATTTCATTTCAACAGTGGAAAATGTGTGGGCTTCTGTGTGGTGTAGTGATTTCATGATGAAGATTTAGCACAGGAGATGGAGAAGGGAAACATGGTCTAGTTAGTATGCGTGAAGATTGTAGGTCTACATATTCTCTTCTCTCTTCCTCTTCACCTCCTACCCCTACTTCTCCTCTTTCTTTTCTTCTTTCTTCTACTTCCTTCTCCCTTTTCTCATTCTTCCTTCTCCTTTTCCTTCTTTTCTGGACAGGTCTTGATCAGCTAAATTGCACAAATTCAATCTTGCAACTCCTGTCTCAGCCTCCCAGAGTGCTAAGTTTATAAGCATGTACCACTATACCTGACTATATTTGTTTTTTCCTTCCTTCTTTCTCTTTCCCCTTTTTCATTCCTTCACTTCCCCCTTCCCTACCTCCAAACATGACAAAAAGATAGCAATCCTGTTGTTTATAAAGTCTAAGGCTCTCTGACATCTGTATTGAAACAACATTAAATGAGTGCAGCCCATGCCATTCCCTAGTGTAGTTACTTTGCTGCTGATTATATTTCACTGGTGGTCCCGCACTGTGGCTACTGAGGATGAAAGGGTGTTCTCAGGTTTCACTGATGGTGCCCAAATGTTCAGTAAAAAGCAAATGATACATTATTTTCTGGTCATGTTAAATTTAGGATTTGGAATCTTATGAACATAGAACAGCACCTCTTCTAGCCACATCTTTTCTTGAACTCTTGGAGTCATAATGGCTGTATTTCTAGAGTCGGGCTTTCTTCCACGGCTGACTCGACCCCACTGTCCACACACTGCTGCCAATGGGCAGAGATAAGCAAAGGCCACACTGTGGGCACCTTTTCTTATTGTAGTCAGAGGTGGTTCATGATTATCATCCTAAGTTCCTCTCTCTTTTCTACAGAAGCATCAGAAATGGTCATCAGAAATCTTTCATTGCCTTCCACATAGTTCATACTATATATTATTTTGGAAGAGGAGGTTGCTTAGAACATTGTCATTTAAGTTTTTGTTTTCTTCTACAAAAATGTCTGAAATTAAGCCAGACTATTAGACTTATGGGAGTATGGAAGAAAACAGTGAACAAATTGTGACCTGACTTTGTCAGAGGTTCCTTTATGCTCATAAAAGAGATAGTGCTTCTGACGGCTTTTACTGACGTGAGCTTCTAAAAATCAATACAAATAGGTTTAGGTTTCATTGTTGCAATACAAAGAGTACTTGAAATTTCTTTTGTTAAAGAAATCTTTGTTAAAGACATCCTGAAAGAATAGGTTAGCTCCAGTGGCTTATAAAACCTATACCCACCCTCTCTCCAAAGAAGTTTATAGCTTCTCTGCCTCTTATCAAATTAGACTGCATGAGTGATGCAGAATCTTTTCTTAATTATCTATATTAAAGCAGAAAAGAACTACAGGGATAACCTATAGCAGCAAAGAAAAAGAAAAAAGAAAGTGTCATTTTTAATTTATTTCTTCTAAGTCTATTTTTCTTGAACTAGGACCAGCTACATAACGTGGGTGGCCTAACCTGAGTGAAAAATGCAAAGATCCCCTTGTTCAAAACTTAAGGTGTCAGTATATCAATACGGGCTGGGTGAGAGGCTTGCCTTTGCTGGGACATGGCCTCTAAGTACCTCCCTGGTGTGCACAGTCCTCGTAGGGCATGAGCTTTTGCCCTGGCCTTCCCAGACCCAGCACTCTAGATCTTGCCATGTCAGGAGTGGAGGCTGCTACTGCATGAGGGGTGCCAGGGAGCCCAGGCATCAGGATACAGAAAAAGACACCTGGACACGGAAAAGCACCCCAGAATCATACTGAATAGGGCAGAGACAAGAAAATGTTCACACATAACTTGTCATATGGATAACTGTTACACAGAATATGAAGGATTGATGATAATTTAGATTCTAATCAACCCATGAAGTGTTGACTTCTTGTCATTGTGGAGTCCCACACCAGGATATGTGGATAGCGCCTGACTGTCCTAGTCTGAGTTGCTACAACAAAATACCATAAACTTCTTAGCTTGTGTTTCTCTTTCCTGGGAACATGGAGATCAAGGAGCTAGCAGATTTGGTGTGTGGTGAGGCATTTTCTTGGGATGACAGTTTCTCACTGCAACCTCACAAGGTAGGAGTAATCTTGGTCTCTTTCATCCCTACAAGGAAATGAATCCCATTCATGAAGTCCCTTCCTTTCTAACCTTATCAGGCCTTACCCACAAAGTGTTACCTCCCCAAAACGATCACACTGGAGATTAGGTCTCAGCATGTGAGGTGAAGGGTGCACAAACTTTCACATCATTGTAATAGCAGGCTTGCTCTTTACTGAAGTTGGGAAATAGAAAGCCAAAGGACTGTAAAGCAAGGCAGATCTTGATGTGTACTATAATAGAAGTATAACTCGCAATAGGAAAACTGAGTGAGAGATAGCAACTTTGACTGGGAACGGAGAGCTGTTCTGGTAAGATGACTTTGATCTGGCCATGATGGGTGGGTAGTATATTAAATGCAGACCTTAAAGGGCAAAACTTCCAGACCAAAGGGAAGGCATGAGCAAAGTTAGCGAAGTGCAGAGCATGTTGACAGATGTGTGTGCACACTGCGACATTCAGACATGCTTTGCATTCATATTATGTTCACTAAATGCCTATTATCTAGGCATTGAACTAGAAGAAAGGATTTGGAATAAGCTAAGCCATGTTTGAACCACAATCGCCAACTTATTGGCTGTGTGATTAGGGATAGTTTACTTAACCCCTCTGAGCCTCAGAGTTAGTCATCTGTAAATAAGACATACAGCTTTTATAGAATTATTTATAAGCATTAGATGAGATAATGTATGTAAATGCACTAACCAGAACTCGCTGTCTAGTGAGGCAGACAACTGAGTAAAGGAATAATTGTGATAAAACGTGCTATAAAAGCTGTCTCTGCCTGAGGGTGTGGCACAAGACTTCCCAAAGGATGTCATATTTGAAGTTGAGATCTAAAGTGTTTAAAGTATGTGTTTGAAAGCCAGAGAGAAGTTGAGAAAGATCCTTCTGAGGTTAGAAAGTGGTGAATCCTTTTATTATCTGTGGGTGGTGGCTGGGGATAAGAGAGGAACAAACAGGAAGATAAGGATGACCATATAAGTGTCCACAGGTAGGCAGCACTTCATTGCCCCTAACCCCCTCTTCCCTACTTCAGTCTGTCAGACCACTGCACTGGAAAAAGTGGGGAGGACTTTCTGTGCTGAGCTCTTAACATACAAACAGTTTTGCATGAGAGCTTCGGCTGTAGATGTGCTGTTTAATTTTTTGCTAAAAGACATCTAGAGTCAGGAAGGGGAATGAAACAGAAAGGGGGGATGGGGAGACAGAGACAAACAGGGAGACATGGGCCAAAAAGGAAAGAAGAAATAGTTGCTTTTGTCATCCTTCCATCGAAAATCAGAATGCTTAATCAGTAGACATTTTAACAAGATGAGATTGGCTCTTTTAAAAGCAGGAGTCTTGCTGGTGTTGGCGATACATTTCACCATGTGCTTGGTAGTTTAAACTGCTTGTCTTTTTCTGTCTTCTACCAGAGTGAACACTTACCTCTGCAGACTCCATTCAAAGAAAGGGAAGCTGGCAGTCTTCTGCCTTCTGTAAGTAACAGGGTCACATTGTCTCAGTCCAGAAGTATCTGGGGGCTAACATACTTTTAAAATATCATTAGAAGTTGCTGACTTGAGCCTTTTACAATTCAGCATATTAATAAGACTTTCATACCTCGTTTTTACACTTTTCTTCTGGATGGTTAAGACCAAGATAAAACAAGACCTATATAACAAGAAATGTAACTTTTGTATCTGACAAGGTTAGTCAGTTCCCCTCAGGATTTACCCTGAAGCCCTGTACCACAGTTTGTAGATCCTTTGTCAGTGTCAGCCATGTGGATGAGTCATGGCCATTGCTTGACCAGTTTGCTCTCTGTGAAAGCCTGAGAGAATGCTCTCTCCATGTGACTCTCCTTAGGCACACTCTACATCGTCAGTCACTTTCCTCTGTGGCCCCATAATATCCTACAGATAACCCACTACTATTATGGACTATTGGCCTATGTTGAATTAGGATTATTTTGCTGAATTCACACACCTGCAATATTTAAATAGCAATGGAATACCCATCTCTGACAAAATTAAACCAAGAAAGGGGATATAAATGAAGGACCATTTTGTATCTGTATATACAAAATAGGATAGATATACAGCTACCTTCTCTTAATTCAATGAGAAGAAAGATTTGTACTAACGGTGTTTGGACAGGAAATCATGTCTGCATCTTGTACTATGAGTAACCGCTATGAAGACAACAATGCACAATGCATTAATTACTGAAACTGTCCTACTAATCAGTTTTGAAACTGTCTCATTGCTACTTGTTTCTCAATAAAATATCATTAGATGTTCATAAAAGCTCACTGTAGATGCCTCCTTTCCTATTTTAGTGTGCTATCATTTGGTAAAGTCCTTGAGCTTACTTACATTAGAAGTATTACAAGATTATGTCAAAGAAATCTCACAAGTAATCAAGTTTTATGAAACCGATAACCAGGCAGAAGGATCTATACCAGTGATACCATGAAGTTTCAGGAGGAGTTATGGGTACAAAGTCAAGTGAAAAAAAGAGAGGAAAAGAATATTTTGGGCAGTATTTCTTATTCTTAGTTTTTTGGTCAGAAATAGATATGGGCACATGCCATCTCATTTTTCTGTCCTTTCCCTAATTCCAGTGTTGAATCTTGAGGTTTATTTTACTTTGTTTCCTTAATTGGCTGTATATCTCAATACACAACCCAGTGTTGGGCCTTGGTTGAGAGACCTTTGAAGTTCACATCCTTGCTATTCTCTAGTTATTCTCCTCAGCTGATATCAGCTCCAAATTCCAAAACCTGAAACTGATCACTGTACCCATTGGTTATAATTTTATATTTAGGAGCCACAGTTCATTCTTATTCAAGTATTGTGAATAACACATTACTGGAAAATGATCAGTTGGTGAACTTTACCTCGCCATTAAATTCCTTGTGGGATAATAAATCAGAGACACAGACTTTAATGAATTCTATTTTTGCCTGTTTTTACCAAAGTGCTGCAAAATGCAAACAGCTGCTCTTCTAACATAAGCAATGTTTGAATTTTCAGAATGGACTAAATAGCAGCAGATTTGACTATGAAGATAATACAGTGGGAGAAAACGGAACTCAGCAGATGTACCCCCTTTACAGTCACGTGTGCTATGAAGACCCAAGTACTGGCAGATGTCAAAGCACCAACCCTGAGAAAGTCTACATCAACCCACGAGAACACTATGTGTGATTTTTCTCATTTTCCAATAGGTATTCTAACAAATGTTTAGTCTTAGATTGGGGAGAAAAAGCAGGCCAATAGCTATTTTATTCTCTCATATAACAGTCCCAATCTAAGAGTATTAAAAGTCTTGATGAATGGCTTAGAGCTAATAGCAGAGTTCTTTCCTTCATTAGGGGTTTCTTAACCACCAGCTGTGTTTGTGAACTTGACTGTAGCTTTGTGTGTTTCTGTGATGCTGATGTTTAACTACTAACATTTGGCCTAAGATGGAATGTTCATTTGAAAGTACAGCATCTGCCTGTGATGACTGCAGTTATTCTTCTGGAAGACAGGCCCCAGCTGGTAGTGTTAGCCTCCTCGAGTCTCAGGCAGCCAGCCTGTGCCTCTGTAATTCAGAGGGGTAGAAAAATGAGTTCAGAATCCATTTCACTAGTGTTTAGCTAGAATTTAGATTTCCCTAACATGCAGAATACGGTTACAGTACCTGTGTACAAAGGGGAAAGAGCTGGAGAAAGAGAAAAATTTGCTTTCTATCCACAACAACAACAAGCATTGTAAAGCATTAAAATGTCAGTGCTTTTGAACTTTCCTGTTACTGTATAAGGTCCTAAGGGATTCGTAGTTGCCCCTGTTACCTGTTCACTCGTAGCTAGCTTTGTGTTGTGCAGGTTCATCTCTTGCTCTGCCTTTGTTCCTACAGTCCTGTTGTTTGCCTCCAGATTCACCTGTGTGCTGCCTAAGTCCTAAAAGCCCCACTACATGGTGTCTAACCCGTCGTGCTGTCCCTTTCCTCTCTAGTTCAAGCTCAGCTTTCACTTCTGGAGTTTCTTCCAAACTACTCTCAGTCTGCACAAGCTTTTGCCACCCTTCTGCGTGCTACAGGCCATTTATCTTCCATGTTTTATCTACCTCAGAAAAGACAACTGGAAAATCGCCATGAAATGACTCCTGCCATGAAAAGGCAGCTGGAAAGTTTGAAAACTTTTTTTTTTAATGAAAGCTATTTCGATATGCAGTGTTTGCTAACTAGTATGTCTTATATCCCTCCTCCACTTTACTTGGTCAACAAGAGTGAAGATATGCGAAAAAGCATGGAAGACAGTGACTTACCTATTAGGGTGTCCTACAGTACTTTGACATCTGCAAATGTCTGCTATGAGAGTTCTCATCTCTCTTTGTCAACTTTCCTCACTGAAATTAATAGTAGTAATTACAGTGTGGTGAGCAGAGACAGAAGGTTCCCAGGTACCCATGTAAGTGTCAGTCACTTTCCCTCACATCTTAAAGAAAGTGTAATTTTACTGTGTATTTTGGAACTTGAAGTATATCACGAATGTTCTTTCAAAACTTACAAGCTTGTCATCTACTTAAAAAAAAAAGTAACATACACAGTGAAATAAATGGGATAAAGCATGTTTCAAAGCTATAGTGCAAGGGGAAAGGAGAATGTTAGCATATATTTCAAATGAGATGCAAAGATACTTTATGATTCATGTTATGCTGTTAACTCTTTTTTTTTTTTCCTTTTTCACACAAACTCTGAATGTCATTCTACAATATACTCTGCCCTACAACTTGGGTGACCCAGAATTCTGGGAAAAATGATGTTCATATTCCATCTCCATGCTTTAGCTAGGTAATTAGCAATTTTAAAGGCAATAGCTGCAGAGCCTCAAAGGATAAATTCTAAAGATCCTCACTGCTAAATCCCTGTACTACCTCAGAGTAAGACTTCAGTGCCCTTCGTATAAAAGAAAATAGTCAACTTTACTATTTAAAATGGTGTTGCTGAGTTAGTGTCACTAAAGGTATAGGAATTTCGAGATATATCTCCACAGTGTTGCATAACTACTGTTGTTATGGAGAGGATATGGTGGGGCATTGCCTCTACAAAGCTTTGAATGCTTGGGATGGTTTGGGGAAACAGGTTGTTGAGTTATCTTAACACAAACACTCTGTGAACACAGGAAAACTACAGATGTCTACATTTGCCCCAGAGAAGGGGATTTGGAAACACTGAATTTCAGGAGCCCTCTATCCTGCCTCTGCACAGTTCCATAAGGAATTCACTGTCTCACCTTAACATTCTTGGTTTAGTTATAAAAAAGCAATTTTAGGGTGTAGACACCTCTCATGCAGAAAACTACTTTAATATTGTATTTGCCTGTGAGCTGTGACATTTCTCGAACAAACTGGCAGATTTAGTATATAGCTACTGGCCCTTGTATCAGCCACACAACTCTGTATTAGCTTATAAAGAGTTAGGAATCTTAAACGGCCTCCCATCTGTTCTCTCTAAAAAACCTCGCTAAATAAAGAAGAGCTTCAAAGGATTTGATCAGCCAGCCGGGTCCTCAACCAAAAAAATACCATCCAAAATTAGCTGGGGGGTCTCTAAATGTGGAGTCTAGACTACTTGACAATGCCATTTAAATTTGGAAGTTGTACTTATGCAGGTCAGTGAAGTTAGGCTGAGGTATATGATTCACAGCTGATATTAGATACTCTTTCTATAACTAGTATACTAGACACACAAACAGAAAAATATCCGCACGGCATGTACTGCTTTCGGTTGTATTTTTGGATTCCAAGGAAAGGGGAGCATGCCCACCTTAAACACAGCCCATATTGCCTGTTTTCTATGTAGGCCATCCCCAGGTTGCACACCACACTAGCTCCAAGTGTCTGCACCATCAGGATTGACCTGACACAAAAGATTAAGAATCCTAAATGGCAGTGATGTATTATCTCCTCTGTGAGGGTTCTCCCTCCACTTAGCCTTTGTACATGCTCCAAATTTAAAGAACTTATTGCCATTTGGAAGGATGTAATACAAAATTCTTACCCATTCTAGGCTGCTTTATAATAGACAAGCAGTAGTGATTTTTTAAAAAATGCTGAAAACCAAATGAACTGGCTTCCTCGTTACCTTCTGTGTCCTTACTCATAGGAATAGGAAAGACATCATTCTTCCATTGAAAATTATTTCCTAGTAAAGTAAAAATCACACCTTGGTTTGTGATTGTTCATTCTTTCCCTGCACTGTGCTGGTTTCCTGGTGCTGTTCTTCATGTACAATAGAGCCTGCCTTAACACTTCCTGTTCCCTGTGGTGCAGAGAATAGGCCATTATTCTAGCAATCAAAAGAACAGGTTTGATTCCTGGCTTTTTGCCTTTCTAGCCATAGACTCTTAGGCAATCCACTTGTCAGTTGTCCTCATCCATAAAGCAGAGATTGTAATACCTTCCCAGTCAGCCTCACAATTGTGGTGAGAATTAAACAAGGTGAGAGTAGATGGCAAATTTTAAGTTCTCATCAAACTGTCAAGGACCTGAGACTATCTTACTGTTTGGTGTCAAACCTAAACTTCCAGTGCCCTTGCCAGTGTCTACAGTACTGAAATGTAACCAGGGGAGAACCAGGCGGCAGCATCGAAAAACCAGGCAGCAACACGGAAGTTTCAATTTGACTTCATTTAAGTACATCTGGGTGCAGGTGGCAGATCCTCCTTTCACTGTAATGAACATCTGTCAGATGGCAAGCTTCATAACTGATTCTCAGCCTTTCAGTTTGCAAGTATATGTTGCTATCACCAGTGGTTGCTCTCATTTTACAAATTACTTCTAGAAACAGCAAACATTATGCAGTGAGTAGTGTGGACACGATTCTAGGGAAAGCACCCTGCATGTGTCTGGTCCCTGAGTAGGACAAGATTCCTGCTTTGTCTTGTATGCAGGAGCCCCTCATGGCATGCAAGGATAAACATTACTTCTCTTAAATCTTTTTTTGATATGAGGGAATAAAACTGTCTTGATTTTCCTTATTTCAATGCAGAGACATAAAAGGTATATGGAGAAAAACCTAAGAAGTGTTAAAAATGAAAGCAAATGCATATGTTTATTTTCAGTGTTTGACTTCTGAATACTCAGAAAGATTCACCTGCATTATATTAACCATAATTACAAAAACAACCACCTAAATAATTAAAACCACTCCTTCCCACTTGTTTTAATTTCGGTGGGCAGAAACATCCATCAGCCCTTCAGCAGCTTAGTTCTTTGATACACAGAACACAACACTCTGCTTGTCAGGGGTAGTAACCCTTGTAAAATGGACAGCTGGAAAGAAGGTAGGCCTGGGTAGAAAGCCAAGAGAGGAGTAGGCAGGTGTGACGTAGAAATGTGAGGGTCACCATGGGTGGCTCAGCTCTGCTCCTCTTGTTCCTGCATTTTACTGGCAAGGCCTGCCTTCCTCACCAGGTTATTTACAGACCTTCTAGAAGACTCAAGAAATTGCATCCCTATCAAATAAGAAGCTAATTATGACTGAAGAGATCTTGTCAAATCCATTAAAATGTATGCAGTTTGGATATTCACAACTATGGTAGTGTTTTAGTAGCCTTCTATCGATAAAGGCTTGTGAGGGTGTATGTCTTCTCTTGCCCTCACCAGGTGACACTTTGCACACAACTCAGGTCTTAGACCAAACACTGAGTCATGCATGTTCATAAGAAGGCAGGCTTCAAAACAGTTATCCAACCTGTTCTGTAAGCTTGAAAACATTCCAGCTCTGTCCTATCATTCTAGACATTGCAGCAACATTCTACCTAAGAGTTTTATTAGCAGTGAGATCAACAGTACTTGAATAGATTTAGGCAGACAACCAATCACTATTTGCTTTTACATTAAATGAGTTTGGATCCCTGGTCCACTGGGCTTCATGCAAGGGCTAGACTGCCCTACCATATTGGAGTCAGTCCCCATATCTTAACATCACCAATTTGGCCACAGAAAATACTCACTTATGAACAATGTCTCTGGTGTTGAACTGCAGATAAAGGTTGCAGGATAATGGCCTCTGAAGTGACTAAGGTTTTCAAAGGCTACAGCTCTTGGAGGGTATAGTCCTCATAGGGTACTTTTCGTATTAAGCAACCCCCTCCAGGGTATGTATACAGATGAACTGACATGTTGAAATAATTTAAAGAATTACACAATTTTAATATATTTCTTAAAGATTTCTCAGGTTTTTCTCACTCTTATGTTTGGGTGGGGTGAAACTATTCCCTGCTCTAAAGTCATCAACTTGCTGAATAGAATTTTACTGGCATTAAGCCTGAAAGGCAGCTTTTTCTTTCTAGGGTGTGTGTGTGTGTGTGTGTGTGTGTGTAAGAAAAATTAAAAGAATGTTAAACTTTTGCTGTTTAAATTTCCAAGGCATTCGTGTATTCTTACTGCATGTTAGTTGTATTAATTACTCCACTAACTTCCACCCTCATTGTAGTTTAAAGTTGAATAGACTAGAATGAAAAGACATTTTGAAAAACTCAGAAGATACTAAACATCCTTCTGTCATGAAGTTTCAGTTGGCACCATGGTGTAGAAGTTACCTGTGAATCTCAGGAAGAAGGGAAACTATTAATGACAAGTATAACACATTCTCTAGCTCAGTCCACTGTTTATAAATTCCATTGATCATGATTAGAATATCCCAACCAGTGTTTAGAGGCTAAGCCTTTGATCTATATCAAATGACATGTGTCCCTACATCAAAAAATAGTGGTTACATTCTTGTCCTCCAGCTGGGAAGCTTAGAGTTACATACCTGAGTTTCAGAAGAACAGATGTTCTGAATATCAGCACCATGTAAATGTGTGGGAAAGCAACAACTCCATGAATTAGCAATAGGCAGGGTGCTAACCACTAAGTCCTCCTCTTCTATGACTGTGCTATTCACATTTGATGCATGCATATGATTTACATAGACATGTCAGTTGGACCCAAGAAGATATACTTTTGGACTTAAGGTTACTGTCAAATTGTAGTTACCACTTCAACAAGCCAAATGCAGTTTTCTCAGATATTTCCATCTTTTGCTTTTTATACTGGACTGGCAGTTGCCAATTGCAGTTTGTTGTTTTTGTTTTTTCCCCCAGCACTAACTGCCACTTAAACTTTCTGTGCTCAGGTCCCCGGTGACCTGCCAGCATCCTTGATATTATGACCTACACTGCTTGTATTTATTACCATGGCACTGAAAGGCAATTAGAGGCAACCTTGAGGGGAAGCCTCCATGAGAATCTAGAACATCAGATTTGCTACGCTGACTAGAATTATGGCCGCTCCTGTGACATATGTGTCTGACAGCCATAAAGAAATGTTTTATTTTTCTCCTCCAGAGGTTAATTTTTCTTAATAGCTTGTAGTGTATCTGTGAAGCCCTAAGTTGTACATGATTTTCCAAGTGAATAGGCACCTTTGTTTTGGTGTCCAATGCCCTTTCTGATCTTGACAAGTTATTTTTTAATCTACCCTAGCATATTGATCAGGCTAAATTAAATTCCTCTCTCTTGTCTTATTGATGGCTCAGTGTACATTATATATTAACTAGAGGCAGCAGCAATTTGAGCTGAATGCCAGCTCTTGTCCACATTGCACTTCATTTATGTATTTGCTTTTTTCACATAATCTTGCAAGAATTTATTGCAAATATTCTTTTTGGCTAAACATTTCAATACACAGACATATGTCTTCTTTGGTTTCATTGTGTACTTGAAATTCCAAGTCCTTTTTCAAAATAAGTTAAGTAGCTGGAATTGCTACTAGATCCCTGGATTATTCCACTTGTCCATCCATAAAAGTCCCTGTTTATCCTCTACCTTCTGTTTCTATTTCTAAGCCAGTGTTCTAAGATATAACATCTGTTCCAGACTATTCACTCTTTATGTAGTCTTAACCTCTTAACGTCTTTAGTTCTTAATTTATTCCTCTAAGTTAGTGTTCTATATCATGGGGGTTTTACTGGGGGGACAAGGATAGACTGCTCAGGGTTTATATTCAAGAGAAATCCTTCTTTTAAAGTGATTTTATAAAAGCCCCTTGGCTTAGGAATGAGAAACTTTATATGTCTTTTTGCTATTCTTGTTTTGCTATTTTTCTAAAAAGGGATCTCTGTCTGAAGAGTCTTTATTCTGGTTTTAACTTTCTCCTTATTAATGTTTTTCACACTAAAATCTCTGCCTTATCCATGTTCTGGACTTTCTGCTTATGGAGCCAAAATTAATTCTGCCACAGCAAACCCCAATACTTTTACTCCTATCATTAAACAGGTTAAAATCCTCTACTGGAAGAAACATTCCTATGAGAAGCCAGAAGCTAATTGACCCCTACTCTGGGCTGAGAGAAATCTGCCCTTGTGTTCTGCTTCTCCTGATATAAACTGAAGGTCCTCTCACTGCACTGTGAGTCCTGATTACTAGATGGTGAAAAGCATTTTGCAAATGTCCTGACCACATAATACACAGTGGGTCATCTACAGAGGTGTTAGGTAGCAATACATCCTTATGGAGCTCAATTCAGAATACCGATCCACTGTTTTCAGAAGAAATGTTTTACTAACTTTTGGGAGGTTTATCAGTGAAAATTAATTTTTAGTCATTTGAACTATTTTATTTAGATGCTTACAAAATAAGCAATAGTATGTATTTTTGTTTGTGAGAAATTACCCGTTATATTTTTAAACTGATAGAACTGCAACATTTGCATAATAATGTACTTTGGTAAAAATTATTTTAGATGTTATAAAATACAAAACTACAAAGACTAGCTTTGAATTTGAGACTGTATTTTAAATGGTAGATTTGTAATGATTTTTAGACAGTCTTTATTTTCAGGTTACAATAAATTGTATTTTATTTTTGCAGTTTTGAACTATATAGTTCTTTACATCTTTTGAATAAAGTTTTGATCAACTAAATTTTTCTATGAACCAATTATTAAAATGCATATAAAAGTTAATAACCTAATTATATAACTGTAAAATCTAAGGTTTAAGAGCTTCTTTGTATCAACTGTTTCTGTACCCGAGTCCTTTATAAAAATTTAAA